AAAGCCCGTGTCATAACCCAGCAACACGAACGGGGGCAGGAGCAGGGCGATCATGCGCTCATGCTCCGAGAGCTCCAGAAACTCCTGCAGGAGGAGAGGGGACTGAGACAGGACGCCGAACTCAAACTGGAGGATTCGCGAGAGGCGTTGGCTGAAGCCATTCAGGTGGCAGACCGAGGGATAGATTATGAAACGCAGCTGAAAGAAATCACTCAAGAACTGGAGGAGCTGAGGAAAAGCCTGAAGGCTGCAGCGGCGGAGAAGAGCAAACCTGATCCACGTGTGGAGGAGCTCCAGCAAGAGATTGCAGAGCTCAAAGCTCACTTCAACCAGCAGCTTCAGCAGGAAATCAGAAAGGTATGTTTTGAATTGGGGTTGGGCGATGTCTACAAAATTGGCATTGGACGATGTCTACAGTGAAACATCGCGATGGACGATGACATTGGGGGGGATGGGGGGTTAGGGGGTGTGCCCGAAGCGTGAATCCTTATTCAGAAAGGCACAGAAAACAAATAAGGATTGCTAATGGTTGCCTGTTAAATTACAGTAGCTACATAAAATTTCACTTTCTGTTTATTTCACCACATAAACAGAGTAAGGAGAGATGACTGAGGACGATGACGAATGATTTGCTAAATGTGTGGTAAGTACTGCCGCTAACAGAGTACGTGCGATCGCGAATCTTAAAAGTGAAAGTGAAACTAAAAAGAGATCGTGCATTCAAAAGTTTCAATGCCAGGCATAATAGCAGCTAACTCTCTCTAACTGCGAGAGAAAATATTGAAATATATATTTTCCTCCCATCTCGTATTTATTCTCTTTAGGGGTTCCGTAGTACACGTCATTTTCTTTCCGAACACGGTATTGGGTTGCGGTGGATCCGAGGTGTACGATGCTGGCTCAACATCGTGATGTCTATCAGCCATCGGCGACGGACGACGGCATCGTCTATCGGCCCAACCCTATTTTGAATATGACGTATCTTACAGTTTTGTCTTGAAATCCACATATTAGGTTTATAACATTAATTCATGTCTCCTCACTTAATTTAACAGGCTGTTTTGTTTTGCAATGTAATGCAAGTAGCACATGTAGCAGAAGAACAGATCTTTCTTCCGTATTGTGACGTACTTACATGTGAGTGAAGTGTTGGGAGGAGACTTGGTTCAGTCCATTGGTTGTTGAGGCAGATTTGAATGATTTGAATAAATTATTTGCAGTCGATTGTAAGAAAGTGATGAGGTTTAAGTGGTCTAAACCTTGTTGAGAATACATCACCAGAAGTCTTCACCAGAAGATCATCTTATGACATTTTTATTTAAAGGGGTCATATGATGCTGCTAAAAAGAACATTATTTTGTGTATTTGGTGTAATTAAATGTTTATGCGGTTTAAAGTTAAAAAAACGCATTATTTTCCACATACTGTACATTGTTTCTCCTCTATGCCCCGCCTTCTGAAACGCGTCGATTTTTACAAAGAGAAAGGAAAAAATGAAATTGCATCATATGACCCCTTTAAAATTACAAGTTAAAAAAAATAAATAAAAATGAAACATGCATGGATGAATTGTTCACAATAAGATTAATAACATGCATTTAGAAAATAGATTATAATAATAATTATGTTTTTTATAGATTGAATTTTCATGTTATGCTGACTTTAATATTGGTATCGATAAATATTAATATTTAAAGACACTAAGAATTTAAGAAATTTTAAATGTAATCAAAATATCCATTTTTATACTGTACATCATAATGTTTCATAATTACATCATAATTCTTAAATTCACTTAAAAGTATTCAAAATAATTTATTGAAGTCTTAGATTTTGAATTTACTCTTTATTAAATTATAGAATTTTGATATCAGCCATTTATTGGTTATTGGCTATAACATGAAAATAATTAAAGGGTTAGTTCACCCAAAAATGAAAATTCTGTTATTAATTACTCACCCTCATGTCAGTCCAAACCCATAAGACCTTCGTTCACCTTTGGAAAATAAATCCGAGAGCTCATTTGTTGGTTCACGTGCATTTAATTAAGATTTAGAGCTAAACTCTGAAGGATACTCACCCTCCAGGAGCAGGATAGGACACCCCTGGTCTCTTGCTAATCTAAACATTTATTCTAATTTCCTTTTTTTTTTTTTTTTGCAGGTGGCACAAGCAGATGAGCATCTCCGAGAACAGGCACAGATGGAGGAAGCACGAGTTGCCAGCCTTGAGGAGCGAGTGTCTGAGCTCTCCGAACTACTGGGTGCCTGTGAGAAGGCCAGGCAGAAGGACCAACAAAACGCTCAGAGGCTACGAGAACGTATCCTTCAGCTCGACACCGAGAACAAAACCCTCGCCATCGCAGCAGTCAACAGGTCAACGACTTCCGATCTAAACCTCGATGATACCAACTTGAACGTGGACGTGTTAAAGGACAAACTCGACAAGGTGAAGAAGTTACTCCTCCTGGCTGCACAAAGATCTCAAGACCAGAGTCTGGACATCGAAAGTCTATTGGAAGGAGAAAAGAACCAGGAAGTCTCCGAGAGCGAGAAGGCTTCAGTGCTTCACTACCAACAAGAGCTCCGGCAGCTTAGGGAGGAGTTTGAGCGCTACAAAATGAGAGTGCAGGGTGTTCTGAAAAACAAGAACACGAAAGATGGCAACCAGGCCAAAGAGTTAGAAGAAGCACGTGACCAGCTGGCCGAGCTGAAGGAGAAGTACATCAATCTTCGTATCATTTCCGATGAAGCGGAAGTCCAGCACAAACGGGACCTGGAAGAGCGGCAACAAGCGCTTGTAGTGCTCCAGCAGACCCACAAACAGGAAGTCGAGAGGCTGGAGGCTCAACACAGGGAGAACTTCTTGCGGCTTGAGGAAGAGTTGCACAAACAGAGAGATCGCACCATGGCTCTTCTTGCAGAAAAAGACCTTGAGCTGGAGCGACTCCGGGCGGCAACGGTGATCGGCTTTGGTAGCCATCAGAAACACGCTACAAATAACAGCACAGCGATGGAAGGAGGTGACCCAGAGGAAGCTGATCCAGAACAAGAAGAAAGTGACATTATCGCTCAAGCTCTAAAACTAGCTGGGCCCAATGAGCCGACTTTATTGTTGTACGCCGAACAACTGGCGCGCAAGGAGGTGGAAGTGGCTGCCTTGCGCAAACAAAAGCATCGTTTAGAGGAGGACTTGCATCAGCTACAAGGAAAGCTGATTGCTAATGGGGAGAGGCATGAAGAAGAGGTCGCTGAGCTACGGTGCCAGTTGGACAAACGTAATCGGGACCAGGGGAGAGATGGGGCCAACCTTGAGTATCTCAAAAACGTCATTTATAGGTTCCTCACGCTCCACGACACCAGAGGGCGCCAGCAGACACTCACGGCCATTTTGACCATTTTGCACTTTAGTCCTCAAGAGAAACAGGCTGTGCTAAAGCAGCAACAACACAGCTGGTGGATGGCAGGGATGAGATGATGCAAATGAGTTAAGAAGAGTGACTTTACGGTTCTACTGTGCTGAGATAAATATTCCTTTATTTTTATTGACCACTTTTTGTGTGCAGTGTGAGAAGGTACCAAATAACAGGAGCAACAATGTGGATATGTTTCCGATAATGACATATATACTCCAGCTATTGCATGACAGGATACTAAACAGTTTATGAATGGTTTGAATCCAGTGTTGGATCATGTGACACAGTTGACCTATCATTCCAAACTTCCCTTCTGTGTGTGCAACATAATATTAGATCTTGACACTGTGTTTTCAGTCTGTATCAACAGAGTTGGGTGCACCAAACTGTTGCTATTGATTTTGTATAATAACTGGAGATGTAACGTAACACTATTTGGTTTAGTTGAAAGGTTGACATTTACAGAATGGGTTATACCAAAGAAAATGCTCTTAAAAAGCTCCAACAGGCTTTTCAGAGGGAATCCAGCAAGTAATGCCTTCAGACAGCAGCACTTTTCATATATTGTCATGATGAAATCTATGTATATATTTAACACACAAAAGTAATTCCAGGGTTTTTAATGGGAATATATCATCAATTAAAAAATAAATGTAAAAATCATCAGTTGCTTTGAGTTAGTAAACATATAGCAGTTTGTATTTAATTTAAGAAGGATGTGAGCGACTTTATTATAGGTTTTTTGGATGGATTTTGGTTGGCTCTATTTTTCCCTGACATTTGATGGCTACACTGTTATTCCTTTATCTAAGCTGAATATACATTATGCTTTTTTGAGAAAACTAATTACAGATCATTTTCACAGTTGTCTTGGTTTGTCTTGTAAGTAAATTTGATCAGTCAGTCAGGTAAATGTATATTTTCAATCTTGACCAAAACAAACTATTTTGCTCTCTTCAGCATTTTATTTTATATATTATTATGATATATTTAAAAACATTTACTCTTCAGATTATGATTTGTAAAATCCATCACTCCACTGCATAAGCAACTTTATAACAAACAAAAATATTGGTTGGAATAATTATATGGCAACTATAATAAAAAAAGAAAACCTGGCAAATTGTTTTCTCTCTAATACTTCATGTTCAGATAATTATTATTATTATAAAAACTACAGTATGTTAAAGGATCTGCAATGTGAGGACTTGTTATTAGAAAGATAGGTGCTCCTTGCATAATTTAAGACAGTGGCTGAATTTGAGACAGGATACTATTAATATTTCTGCCATTTAAAAATATGAAAGAAATAAGAATAGTATGCTACTCAATAGTGGTCTTGAAGTTTCCCAACTGCACATTTTGTACGTGGCTCCATTGATACACTCAGTTCAGTTTATGAGCTCTCTACTAACGGGCAGATGAGCTGAAAGTCTTACTGCTGGTTTGTTAAAACATATTTTAATAATACAGTCCCAACCATAAAAACATAATATGGCTCTTTCAAATAAACATTTTAAAATACTGCAGAAGCGGCAAACTTTAAAGTAAAACTTACAACCATTTCAAAAAAATAATTAAACAGAAAAAGCAGCTACACAAACTACAAATGAAAAAGTAAAAATGGGCAAAGTGCAGTGCGAGGTTCAAAACTGTAAATGGCACAAATAAAAAAGAACCACCATTTCCTTTTCAAGTAAGGTTCAGGTTGGATCAAAAAAGAAATATATATATACAGACTGACTAGCTTATACATGATTGTATTGCGTATTAATGACATTGAACTCGACAATTCTGTCTAGTTTTAGATATATCTTAATCCAGAGTTTGTTAATCCAACTCTAAATAAGATTGAATCTAAATTAAAAAAAAAAACAAAAAAAAAACACCAAGACAATCAGCTTCTAACATAAAAATAGTAAAAACAGGCTAAACAATGCAGTAGAGGTGCTCCTGTGCAAAGGTTAAAGGTCAGGTAAGGTGTAAATAAATAATAGCCAAAAGCACTGCTGTGTATTTACTAATGTGCTTCTTAATGTCCCTAAATAATAACAAACAACATCACTGAAATAAAAGCATTGATACTTAATAAATAATCATAAAAGCATCTTAAACTAACAAGTCATCCATATTTATGAACTTCACTGCATATGCTAAATAAATGCTGCATATGCTAATTAAAAGTCAATTTGTTGATCCTTTTTATTAATCTATTTGACTAAATGTTGATTTATAACATAAATGCCTTGTTCATGCAGTGCTAACTGACTGCAGGCTTTAAATACTTGGTGCACGTTAAAATGTAATTTAGCAGACATCTAAAATCTAGTGTGAAGTCTAGCTGAGGACTTCAAATGATTTTAATCCAAGTATCAATGTTTTCTGTGTTCTTCATGTGTCATCTAGGACCCTGTATAGCAGCAGTATCTGTTGTTACTGTACATCCAACATGAAAGGCCTCTCAGGTAGTGTATGGGTTTACCAGAAGAAGAAATGTGGGCTGATACCTGCGCAGGACAGGTGTTATGGGTTCAAATATAGCTGGTATATTCTGGAAAGACAGTCTCGGTGTATGCATCAGTGGATCTGCTGGTCAGTGTTGTTCACGTGGGTCTGATTGTCATTGTCTGTGTAATAATGTCTGTAGATCCTCTGGCAAGGAGCTGATGATGGTCTGGATGGACTGCTCTAATCTCTCCAGGAGTTCTTCTTTAACTGGAAGCTGGTGTTTTCGAGCTCTTGTCTGGGTAGGACATATAGAAGAAGAGATAGAAGCTTCAGGCAAATGTTTTAACATAAAACACAAATACTTCACTTTTATCCCCTTCATACTCAAAAAGTGGTTTAACTCACCAGTTTCTCCCGAAGCTTCAGGATGAGGTCAACAATCTCTACTTCTGATTTGTCTTTGGTCCATGTCAGCAGATCCTGAATTGATGAAAACAAAAATTAAATGAGCCATTAAAAGAGTAATTCAACATTTAAAATGACTGTTATTATTAACTCACCCTCATGTTGTTCTGAACTCGTAGGGTTTTCGTTCTTCTGTGGAACACGAAGGATTTTGAAGAATTGTACTGGCCGCGCTTTTCCATGCAACTAAAAACAGACTGAAATTGAAGTTGTTATTCATTGAAAATCTTCAGGTCTTGATTTCTTTGGTGTGTTTATTAAAGTTCATGAGAGAAGTGGAGATGTTATTTAATCATTACTTTGCGTTATTTTTAATAACTGGTTAATCCAGTTTCAAAAAAACATTATTGAATGATTCGTTCACAAAATCTAGTCACAGAAGTTAACAGCAGACTGGGGGAGAAGATTGTAAATAACTTCAATTTTAGTCTGTTCCTCACTTTTGTTAAAAAGTTTGGGGTCAATAAGATTTTTTTTAATGCTCTTATGCGCAACAAAGCTGCATTTATTTGATAAAAAAAATACAGTAAAAATTAAATACTATTACAATTTAAAATAACTGCTCTCTTTTTAAATACATTTTCAAATGTAATTTATTCCTGTGATGCAAAGCTGAATTTTCAGTTCAGATTTTTTTTGTAACATTATAAAATGTATTTACTGTCATTTTCTTCAATTTGATCTATACTTACTAAATAAAAGCATTAATTTCTTTCAAGAAAAACAATTCTGGCTGACACCACACTTTTGAACGGTAGTGTTAGTTACATATACTATTATTATCCTTTTATGATGCTTTTGATTCAAAGCCTCTGTTTACATTTATGGCAATTGCATGAAAAAGAGCGACCAGTTCAGTTCCTCAAAAAAAATTCCTCTTTTTGTGTTAAACAGAAAAAATCATACGGGTTTGGAACGACTTGAGAGCGTATCATTTTTGGGTGAATGAATCCTTTAAACATTCTTTTATTTGCACACACATTCTGAACTGATAATAATACTAAAGATTTAAGAAGTATAGTGGTATAAGCAATGACCAAATCCAGATCCAAAATCATACTCACAGCCGCACAGATGGCCTCTAAATGAAGACATTCCACTTTCTGAGTCATCTCTCTGTGCCTGAACCGATACCAGCCATCAAAGTTTGGTGAACGGAAGAAACGCCTGAATGTCATATATAAACATTTATTATAAGCAGGATTAACAGGAAGTTTCAGTCTTTAGATCCCAAATGTCCTGGGCTGTGTTTCTCATCAAAGGAGCATAAGCCTAGATAGATTGTACAGATTATTGATGCCAATGGGTTCATGATGCTTTTGGGAAACGCAGCCCTGGCATGTTACCTGTACAGGCCTGTCCAATCTCCTTTCAGAGTTAGTTGTGGCCCTGCTTGCTCCAGGGTCTTCATGAACTCATCCTGACTGAAAAACCGGATCTGAGGAGGGGTCTGAGACATACATGCACAACTGTTTCATTGCCACTTGAATCCCAAGACTTCACTTCATATTTGAGGTCCAACATAATCAATGGAAATGGCTTATACACATCTCCTTAATCTGATTTACCAACCTTCCATGGAGACATAGATCTCTGTGGCGGCATGAGGCTTTCCAGATACCGTTCCTAAAGAAAAGAATGGGTGCGGCGCTCAATACTGCTTAGTGAATGAAATGAAACAGTAAAGCTGTCATTAAGCTCTGAACAAAGGTGTAAAAATGTTTTTAAACTGGTTACCAGCGGATGAATGAAACTCTGCGTTTGCTCCAACAGATGCCGCCTCAAAATGGCGCTCTGCACCTCTGACGGCCTTTTTTTCTGGATACCCTAAAAGTAAAAATGAAAAACCAAAGCAAGGAGTTAAACGTAATTTTACTTTAAACTTAAATGTCATTTTTCAAGAATGAACATTTGCAGCCTACCTTTAAAAGTCGCTTGATGAGGGCCTTATCTTTGTGTAGAAAGGTCTTGTATGCTGTGTATATACCTTTATGGTATAAGAGAAAGAAAAAAAAAAAAAAAAATATATATATATA